AGATTGAGCGGGGGTGAAGGAAGGACAAAAAGTGGGGGGAGGGAAGAGTGATATATGTATATATATATGTATATATATATGTATATATATATATATATATATATATATATATATATATATATATATATATACATACATATGTATATATATACAATATATATATATATATACAATATATATATATATATATATATATATATATATATATATATATATATATATATACATATGTATATATATAACAATCCTCCCTGACCTGGCCTCGAACCTAGGTCACTCCGGGTATTGGACCGGAGGGCCAGTACTAAACCAACCATGCCACGCAACCCACTAAAAGGAATGTGCAACAAGGATCTAACTAGCTCCATACACATTACCTATCTACTCATACATGAGTAATGATAGCGAGGTTTTACACACACTCCCCGTGGGCACTCGGTGGATATTGATTTAGAAATTCGAAACCGAAGTCAGATATCCTGAGGTATATATATGAAAGATGGAATAATGCAATGCCGCACTGATATAGATATATAACAATCCTCCTTGACCTGGCCTCGAACCTATGTCACTCCGGGTATGAGACCGGAGGGCCAGTACTAAACCAACCATGCCACGCGACCCACTAAAAGGAGTGTGCAACTAGGATCTAACTAGCTCCATAGACATTACCTATCTACTCATACATGAGTAATGATAGCGAGGTTTTATACGCACTTCCCGTGAGCACTCGATGGAGTGTGTGTAAAATCTCGGTACCATTACTCATGTATGATACCTCAGGATATCTGACTTCGGTTTCGAATTTCTAAATCAATATCCACCGAGAGTGCCCATATTACCAAAGAGCCAGCATTCTGAAAATGAACCTTGGCGAACGAAAGAGTTACAGCTAATTTAGGAGCTAATTGACCTTTTATTTATTCATTTTTTTATCAAAGGAAACAGGTCATTAGGGTTTACTCCAGCATATCCGTCTAATTCTGATAGCAGGTACTTGGTTGAAAGCAAATGTGAATTCAAGCATGGAAATGAGTGACATAAAAAAATAAGTTCAGTATAATCTAAGATTTGTTTTGAATTTATGCTTTAGGTTACAAGGTTGGTTACTCAGTCGGACTGAATGTTACACTACCATCACCTTTTATAAGGCTGCGGCTTCTTTCAAATTAGCATTGTATTCATATTTAGCCTGAAAGCGAAGACTATATTTATATGCATGCACACACACACACACACACACACACACACACACACACACACACACACACACACACACACACATACACACACACACACACACACACACACATATATATACAATATATATATATATATATATATATATATATATATATATATATATATATATATATATATATATATATATATATATATATATATATATATATATATATATATATATATATATGTATATTTATATATATATGTATTCATATATATATATATATATATATATATATATATATATATATATATATATATGTATACATGTATATATATACATACATATATATATATATATATATATATATATATATATATATATATATATATTATGCACACACATACATACACACATACATTCGTACTTACATACATACACACACACACACACACACACACATATATATATATATATATATATATATATATATATATATATATATATATATATAATACAAATATACACATATACATACCCAAGTGTGTGTGTGTGTGTGTGTGTATGCGTGCATGCGCGCGCGCGCGTGTGTGTGTAACAGACAGTATAAAGAGTATGGAAATTATTCCTGAATTAGAGCATGGAAATGAGTGACATAAAAAAATAAATTCAGTATAATCTAAGATTTGTTTTGAATTTATGCTTTAGGTTACAAGGTTGGTTACTCAAGTCGGACTGTATGTTACACTACCATCACCTTTTATAAGGCTGCGGCTTCTTTCAAATTAGCATTGTATTCATATTTAGCCTGAAAGCGAAGACTATATTTATATGCATGCACACACACACACACACACACACACACACACACACACACACATATATATATATACAATATATATATATATATATATATATATATATATATATATATATATATATATATATGTATATATATATATATATATATAAATATATATATATATATATATATATATATATATATATATATATATATATATGTATATTTATATATATATGTATTCATATATATATATATATATATATATATATATATATATATATATATGCACACACATACATACACACATACATTCGTACTTACATACATACACACACACACACACACATATATATATATATATATATATATATATATATATATATATATATATATATATATAATACAAATATACACATATACATACCCAAGTGTGTGTGTGTGTATGCGTGCATGCGTGCGCGCGCGCGTGTGTGTAACAGACAGTATAAAGAGTATGGAAATTATTCGTGAAGTATCACTGAAGTTTAAAATTAATTAACAGTATATGCCTCCATTATTCTTCAAGTGTCCTTAGACATTTCTAAGTTGTTCGTATTCTTCCTTTTAATTTTAATTAAACTATAAATTTTACTTTTCATATTTCACAAACAATGCAGCAGTTTTAAGCATAAATTTATCTTTAAATTTAATCTTTAATCGTCAAATAAATTCTTCTTGGTGAACCTTAGTTACAATTAAATAAGTCAATAGATTCAACAAAATATTAAATTCACTAAACGTGCCGATAATCTTATATCTATTAGTTTATAATTTTCATATATTCCATACTTGAACCATTTCTCAAAATTTAACATTCTAATAACGATAAATCTATATCACTTTATTTTTACGATGTGCTGTGTATGTGTTTTATATATGTATATATGTATATATATATATATATATATATATATATATATATATATATATATGTGTGTGTGTGTGTGTGTGCGTGTGTGTGTGTGTGTGAATGATGAGAACACTCTACCGTGTTGATACTATGGTAGAAAAACCCACAATGTAAAAACAAGATTTATTAAAAATGAGACAACAGTTTCGGAATCCACCTGGATTCCATCCTCAGCTCTGAAGAGGAAAGGATAAGGATAAGTCCGATATGCGAAGCTGAGCCTCGCCCGGGCTATGGGGGAGCCCGGCCTGTGCCTCGACATTCTGCACGGTCGAGGACCACCACCGAGTTGCCCTTGTCAAAAGGCAAAATGGTGACATCCTCCCTGCGCAGGCTTTGGAAGGCCTCACGGTAACGCCTGGGAATGGAAGGGTTAGGATGGAGGAGAGATTCAAGGGCCGGGATGAAAGCACCACGAAGGAGAGACACATCAGGCAAGGAGTTCCTATGAGAGGAGATGAAACGGTCAAAGGATGAAATAATGTCGATGGGGGTAAGGGTGTGAGTGCGGAGAGCAAAGGAAAGACCGAAGCCAAGGAGCTGTTGCTGGTGGGCGGTCAAGGAGAGGGAAAATAGGTTGGTGACGGTGTCGGTGAGGGAGAAGCCGGACTAGGGACTGCGGGCGGTGAGACTGGAGAGTTTCCGGGAGAAAGAGCGGCTGTGGTTGGTGGAGAGGGACCGGAAAGAATCGTGAGCAATATCGGCTATGAGCTGCAAAATATGACTAGGGAGCCGCTCCTTCAGGAAGTCCGAACGTACCCGTGAACGGTAGAAGGCATGTTCGACATCCCTCCTACCAGTGCGGATATATTCAAGGAGGAGAGAACAAGCATAGGCAGGAAAGGGAGATCCTTCCTCTGAATGTTTCAGAATATTAATAATAGAGGAAGGAAGCACCTGCTGCTCGAGGCAGTCGCGGAGGAAGCGAAGTTGATTCTTCCGTCGGGCTATGGCGACGACAGAATCCTCGTAAGTATGAAAGGCAGGAACCAGGTAAGGGAAGGAGGCAAACAGGAACGACAGGAGATTTCTTTTAACCGTGGGGTCCATTATGAATGATGAGAACACTCTACCGTGTTAATACTATGGTAGAAAAAACCACAATGTAAAAACTAGATTTATTAAAAATGAGACAACGTCATCAGCGAACAATAGCTCCCAGGATATGTCGGTTCTCACATCTTCTAGCAAGGTATCCATGATATTGATGAATAAGAATGGGCTTAGTGCCGAACCTTGATGGACTCCAACTGTAATTTCAAGTTCATCAGTGTCTCCTTGTTGTGTCACAACCTTGGTAGCAGCATTCCTGTATGATGCTTCTACTAGCCTTACCAGCTTCTCTGGTGTTTCCTTTTTCCATAGACACCAATACATGACTTCTCTTGGCACACGGTCGAAGGCTTTCTCTAGGTCTAAAAATACCACAAATATTTTTTTTCCTTATCTCTAGTGTTTTTTCTTGTAGTTGTCTTATTACAAAGATGGCATTGGTGTTTACCCTTTCTAGTAGAGAAGCCAAACTGTGTTCTATGTATGTCGAGAATTTATGTCTTTTGTCCAGGATTTTTTCTAGGATTTTAAGGCCATGGTCTAGGAGATTTATACCTCGGTAGTTTTTGCAGTTCATTGGATCACCCTTTTCTTTGTAGATGGTTATTAGTTTACTTTTTGTCCAATCCTCAGGTATTATTTCTTCGCTCCATATCTTGTTTAGCAGCTCTGTTATCCTTTTTATACCTTCTTCATCTAGACTTTTCGAGATGTTCAGCTGTAATCTCCGATTGGTCCTGGAGTTTTGTTATTCTTCATACCTTTTATTACTGCCATTATCTCTTCTGTGGAGATGTTTTGGACAGGTCCTTCAACTGCATGGACTTCATGTAGTGGCTTTCTTTCATTTTCAGTGTTAAGTAGCTCACGTAAATACTCCTCCCACCGTTTCTTGATATTTTCCTCATCAATCAGTATTCTGCCAGTGCCATCCTTTATCACTGCCACACTTGTAAATGTCCTTTTTCTGGTTTGCTCTGCGTTTTGCATTTTTGTATATTTGGTCTTCACCTTCTTTGGTATCCAGATTGTCGTACCAATCTTTCCAAGCATCTTCCTTTGCAGTTGCAAGTGCTTTCTTGGCTTTTTTTCAGCTTTTTGTAATCATCAAGGTTCCCTGTTCCTTGTTTTAGGTTCTTGTATGCTGTCTTCTTCTCTTTTAACTTTTCTTGTACTTCTGGATTTAACCACCAGGCTTCATTATCTCTTGATCTATCACCCCTAGTTTGCCCGCAACATTTTTTAGCAGCTTCCTCTAGTATTTCGCTCATCTGGTTCCAGTGTTCTTCACAAGATGTATTCTCTCGGTCTGCAAGTCTTTTTCTAAGTTCATTTACTTCCCTGTTGTATTCCTCCCTTTTCTCTTTAAGTTTCCAGACTCTAGTTCGGGGGGTCGCTTCCGTGGTTTAAGTTTCCTTTTCATGTTTTTTTTTATGTCAGCCATTACGAGTGTTGCCTGATAACTGCTTCATATGGCAGAACTTTGGCATTTGTTTTCCCTCCTTACTAAGATGTAGTCCACTTGCATATCATGTCCTGTAGGTTACCAGCTGCTCTTTATTCTTCCTAAACCCTGTGTAGCATACAGTTTTGTGCATATAGGTATTTATCTATGTAAGTATGTAAGTGTGTATTCACACACACACTCATATATATGTGTTTGTGTGTGTGTTCCTAGAGGTATGCCTCCATTCCTCCCTCCATTTACGAAGAAAAGAACTGGGAGAGAGGAAAATTGGCATCACAGTAGCAGCTTCCTTGGCGATCCAATTAGGTTGCTCATTCCCAT